GTCCTCCCTGCGTTGGCGGTACGCATGATACATCCTGCTTTGCAACGCTTGCCCTTGCCCCGCCACCAAGGCCTCAAAAGACAACCCACGATGGTGTGTGTGCGCCGACAGCAACACCGCGTCGTCACGCAAAATACCCCACACATGCAACACAAATACTCGCAAGACACGCGCAACAAGACCTTCCTCCCCTCCCCCCCCCCCCCTTCTGCTTTTGCCTGCGAAAAGGGTTCCTTGCGATGCGTACGTACACGTGACGTCCTCCTTGGTCACCGTGCCTCCAACAACGCTCGTCCTGGCATGTCTGAGAAGGTCATAGCCTTGGTGCTGGGACGAAAAAAACCGGAAGCAAGGACGCGGCGGAGGGAGGTTCGCCAACGGGCAAGGCCCAAAACACCAAGGCAAACCGCCTCCGACTCAACACAGACGACATCGACTACGACGACACCAACAGGATACCGATAAAACTGCCAACGTCACCGCCACATCACGACCCCCCCCACCCCCCACCCCCGACACACAAACAAACTGCCGACTCTAGAGGCCACACAACGACCCTGCAACACACGGGGGACGCCTCTCTAAACGGGCACAAAAAACAAACACTACAGCAGCAAGTAGTACACACGCACACCAAACATCCGGCCATCCACGTTCGTACCCAATTTTTTTACGGACCACCGGAACGGAAACGCATGCGCGACGCAGACGAGACGTCGGTTGGTCCGTTGTTCGTGTAACAGAGCTCCCGCAAAAATAAATGCCGGAGCAAAACGGGCGAGGAACAAAACGACTACGCTTTACACCCATTCCTCGTTCCCGGTTGGCATATCACACCACCTCGCCTTTTTTTTGCGGAAATCGGCGTGGAACACACACACCGAAACAACCCGGAAGCCTCGAGCGTGCTCTCCGCAGACCGACAGTCTCAATGGGGGTGGGGGCGGCGGGGGGTCAACACCAAGTCAACCCAAGCAAAGGGCTCAGAACGATAGCTGGTTTTGGAGCGCGGCGGCTAGGGAAGACCCGTCAAGGGGCCCAGGCGATGACTTCCCGACGACCCCGCCGCCGCCACCGCGGCCTCCGCCTCCGCCGCCGCCGCCGCGAGAGGGAGACGCGCCCGTGCTGAACGCGCCGCCGCCAGGGTGGTGATGGTTTCGGTGGTGCTGGTGGTGGAGGGTATTGAGGTTCTCGGGCATGGACGAGGACAGCGACGCTCCCGTGTCTTCGAGGGCCTCCCCCATGAGGTCGTCGCCGAAGAACGAGCTCGTCTTCATCAGGGGCGAGTCGTAGCGCTGGGCCTCGACTCCACCGTTACCGTTGCCGCCGCCGGCGCCGTTGCTGCCGTTGACGCGTCTCGAGTCGCCAACCGCCCTGAGAGGAAAGCTGCGCGCCCGGAACGCGGGCGGGAAAAGCGCACATATCCAAAAACCACACACGTAAGAGGCACGAGAGCGAGAGCAATAATCCGCAGAAAAACTACTCGTAGAAAACCTCCTTCGAAACAACGCCTCTTCCGCGCCACTGCAACAACACAGCATTCGCGAAGCACCACCGCATCACCCTGGCCGTGACAAACTGCGAAACTTCACTAGGCGACCCCATCACAACGGTTGTAGCAGCACCTGGAATCGAAGGTGCCTCCGCCGATACAGGCTTCACCTCCACCCCCGCCGCCCCCGCCGGCCGCCGAATCCAGAGTCGCCCCGAACGCCGCGCGGACGCTGCCCTGCCTCCCACCGCCGCCGCTGCCGCCGCTGGCAGCGCTGTTCTCGTCCGCGTCGTCTCCGCCGGCGGCGGCGACGGCTGCCCCGGCCACTCTCGAAGCGCTTGGACCCTCCGGGGAACCCACCTCGCTCCCCACCGCGGCCCCCCCGGACCCGCCGCTGCTGCTGTTGGCGCTGCCGGCGCGGGTTACCACCGCGCGGGCGCCGCTGCTGCGGGCCTCGGCACCGCCCCCGCTCTGGGACGCCCAGCCCGCGGAGGACGAGGAAGAGGGCCACATGTCCAAAGACCTCGTCAGGCCGGATGACTGCTGCCGCTGCTGCTGCTCGAGCGCCCTCTTGGGGGTGAGCAGCGCGAACTCGGCGCACATCATCGCCGTCATGTCTTCCGCTGCGGAGGAGCCGCCGCCGCCTCCGCCGCCGCCTGCAGCAAAAGCACTAGCAGCCGGCGCAGCAGCCGCGCCGCTGTTGCCTCCGCGCCCAGCTACTGCTGCTGCTCCTGCTGCTGCTGCCCACGTCGACGCATCCCTGGCGCCGTCGATGCCTGCGCCGTCACCGGCAGCGTCGCGGCCTCCTCCGCCGTAAGGGTGGTTGATGCGCAGATCAGTCGGGCGGGAGATCGCTCCCCTGACCCCGGCGTGGGAAGCGTCCCCGCCGCCACCGGGAGCAGCGGCGCCGTCGCGGCCGTCCAGCCAGCTCGGGGCCACCCTGCGCTCGTCGTACGACGACTTGCGCGCCATCATGCTGGCCCGGATGCTTCCAGCCATGCCGCTGCTGCTGAGCTCGTGGAAGCTGCTGCTGGTCACGATGTCGTCGGGCGGGGGGGGCATCAGCGAGCTGCTCGCGCTGCGCGAGGAGGGACCCGCAGACCCGGGCCGCAGCAACGAAGCGCCGTGAGGCAGGCCACCGCCGCCGCCCGTGCGAACGCCGTGGTCGTCGTAGTAGCCGGCCGCGCTTCCGCCGATGAGACGGGAGGCGGACCTGCTGCTGTGCAGCGACTTGGGGGCGCTCATGCCGTGCATGGCCGGGCTTGCTCCGTTGCTGCGGCTGCCGCCGCCACCGCTGGATTCGTGGAGAGAGCCGGTGCTGCTACCACCGCTGCTCGGGAAGCCCATCGAGATATTCCCGCCCGCGGGGGCGGTGGCGAACCCGGAGCTGCTGCTGCCCCAGAAGCTGCCGCTACCGCCGCCGCCGTCGTCGTCGCCGCCGTCCGCCACACCGCGGCCGCCGTCACCGCTCAGCCGCAACGACAGGGTGGTGTGCATCGTGCCGTCGCTGTCCATTCTCAAGCTTCCTCTTCCGTCCATCGGAAAGCCGGGGGGACCGCTGCCGCCACCACGACCGTCGTCGTGAGCGTACGAGAACCCGGAGCCATGGCGCCCGCCCCCGCCGCCCCCGCGCCCGCTCCTGCCGGGAGAGCCGCCGCAGGCGGAGGAAGAGTGCGAAGCGGCGGAGAAGCATGGGGAAGAAGGCTGCGACAAGATTCGAGGGCTGACGCCGCCGCCACCGCCACCGCCGCCACCACGCGCCGTTTCGGATTGCATAGCCCTGATGATGGTTTTCAGACGCAACCAAAGGAGAGGAAGGGACGTGGTACATGGTAAGAGAGAGGGACGGAGCGGGCCGAACAACAAAAAAAAAAATGGCGAAAATACCCGTGGTGGTTCAGTTGGAAACCTCGCGGCCGTCCGATTCTCTAGATTTCGGACTCGAATCTCGACGGAGTAAATTCACATCAAATCTCCCTGTAGTGAAGTACTCGCATTCTAGAGGTGAAAAAGGCGCTTAGACGTGACTCAACACCTTTACGGAACGGCAACTGATGGGTCTTTGTCGGTTTAAAAACGGCAGAAAATGAAGATAAGGGCAAAAAATAATTCTAGTTTTCTACCTTCGTCCTGCGCGACCTGCCCTGGCCAGTTTATCAAACTTATACCAAAGCGTTTAAGAGACTGGCGCCCACAATTTATGGGAAGAAAACACCACGGGCACACACAAACTACCCCGCCTAAGACAACAATGTGGCCATAGCACAGCAACAAGAGCGTTGCGTGGCCCGATCAATCTAGAGGGCAGGGGTAGTAATACTGCTCATGTGTGTGTGGCAAACCTCGCCCGCGGCCCCCTGCTTGGTCGATCAACAAAATAAGCGAACACCCCCACGGCTTCGCCAAAAGCGGGTGGAAACATCGGAGCATCGGATAGCTCTCAAGGTTGTACAGACCACGATACGGTCGGCGGCAACACGCACCTCATGCGCTCTTCCAGTCCGAAGGGCCCCTCCATTCTGCCATTGGTGCTGCCGAACGGCCTTCGGCTTCCGTGCATCGGCGCGACCCCTTGCTGCTCGCCGCCGTGCACCGCTCCGCCCCGGGGCGCGATCAGGGAGTTGGCGCGTCTTCTTTTGAACCGGAGAAATTTTGATTTTAAGTGTGAAGACAACAACAACGACAACAACAAAATCGAAAGGCGGCGGCAAAAAACAACACAACCCTTTCATTAGAGAGCATGTTCGCGTTTTTTCATCCAGCAATCAAGAAACGGTCTGTTCATTCGTCATACGGTTGGCACTACTGCACAGATCATGCACACACACACAATCCGCATTGAGACTGACGACTTTTCAATGGTCAGTCGGTTACTGCAGCGCGGTCAATGCACAAATAATAAAAGCAGACGCACACGCACCAAGCGCACTGAGACTAACGTCTTTGCATTGGTCAGCCGGTTAGCGCGGTCGATGCTAAAAATAAACAGGCGCACGGACACACACAAGGCGGGAGACTTGATTGAGCACGCCGACAGCTGGCGCCAGAGTGAAAACAAATGCTGTCGTAAGGACCAAACTTCTAAAATTTAAAATTTGGGCACGGGGTATATTATGCATGTAGGTTGACGATAAATTGCGTATGCATGTATAGGTTGACGAATCTGCCAAAAAAAAATACCTCAAGACAGCAAACAAACAAAGAGACACGCAGCAGCTGCAGCAGCAGCAGCAGCAGCAGCAGCAGGTTTGTGCTGGGCGAAGCCAGAGAAACGGGAAAACTTGAAGCGCGGAACGTCAGTGCTTCCTGCCTAGGCAGTCCGTGACCTGCAGCGTACCACGGCACACATCGATCGAACAAGGGGAGGAAGTGTTTCCCGCTCGCTCCCCGACAGGCGGGCTGCTCACTCCCCCAAGACCCCCCCCCCCACGCTCCGGACTACCCCATAGCTTTGCGTGGGGATGCGACGGTCCCATTTGGTCCGACGACTATATCCATTGCCTCGGAGAAATCTTAAACCTCCCCCTCCTCCCCCCCCCCCTCGCCGCTTAACGGAAAAAAACAAAACTCTCCTCCACCAGCGCCCGGGGGGGGTCCTCCCTCATGGGGGGCGAACCCCCAAACCCGAAACTCTCCACCCCCCCCGCCCGGTTTGGGGGTGGCCCCAGGCCCCGCCGCTGCCCCCC